TTGACTCAGTGAGGGCACTCCTAATTTTGTGCGAGAGCCACACTCATAGGGCCCAAGAGCCGCACGTGGCTCGTGAGCAGCCGTTTGCCGACCACTGCCCTAGCCCGTTCCGTCCGGCTGTCTGACTCGGAAAGAGGAGCCAGTAGATCCATACCCTTAGGTCAGATGTGCGAAGAGAACGGTAGGGGGACACACATTTCTATACAGGATCGCCTCCCCATATACATATAGATCACATTTCTGTGGGAGAAACCAGGTGAGCAGAAATGACGATCCGCTTACACCGAGCATATCATTATCATGTAAAAATCTACCTGGACATGGATTCGCAAGTTTCTAGTTTAAACCGTCAGCGCTTCAAACTCCAGGGACGATGTTTCGTGGGAACAAGAGGATGGTAACTTCCAGAGGGAGGGAGGGAGGGAGGAAGGAAAGGAGGGAGGGAGGGAGGGAGGGTGCAAACAGCCCGCCGGGCGGGCGGAGTCACATCCCGCTGCCCTCCCCTGAGCATGCACCTGGCCGTGACCTTCTGAGAGGTCGCCCTGTGAGCCGTGGCTCGGCCTCAGGCTGGCTCTAGAGGGCAGGCTTTTCTACAAAATTTACTTTATCTACTTATCATCTATCTATCTATCATCTATCTATTATTTATTCCTCACCTGAGGATATTTTTCCATTGATTTTTAGGGAGCGTGGAAGAGAGAGGGAGAGACAGAGAGAAACATCGATGAGAGAGAAACACATCGATGGGTTGCCTCCTGCATGCACCCCGAGCAGGGCTCGGGCTGGGGAGAAACCTTCAAGCGAGGTACGTGCCCTTGACCAGAATTGAACCCGGGACCCTTCGGTCCGTAGGCTGGTGCTCTATCCACTTGGCCACACTGGCCCGGGGCAAAAAAGCACTCTTTCTAAAAGGGCTGATGGGCAGCACGTTATGGCTCTGTCCCACCCCTGACGTCGTGGTGTTTCACGTCCAGTGACTGCACACCAGCCAGGGCTCAGCAGACCGCCCCCTAGAGGCCGTACTGCGGTCTGCGAGGAGGCAGCAGGCCGGCTGCCCGCTGTGGACGGTGCCCCTGGGGTGGCACGCCCTGCTCGCCCTGCTCTCCCCACCGGGCGGCTCCTCCCTGCACAGGGCGGGCTCCTGCCTGGAGAGGGGGTGGGCAGTGCCTGGCAACTCCCCAGGCCTGGATTCTGTGGTCTCGGGGCCTCCATGAAAGCCATCAACTAAGACACATGTGTCAAACACAAGGCCCGCCGGCCAAATGCGTCCCGCCAGGCCTTGCAATGTGGCCCGCACCGCGCTGTCATCACTGCACTCCGCTGCGTTTCCATCACAATGACAGTTTATGACTGTTCAGTAAACCATTCGGCTCTCGATTTAGGCTGGATTTTAGATTTTGGCCCCTTCTCTGATTGAGTTCGACACCCCTAAACTAAGAGCTCAGAGGGAGTCTGCCCCAGGCCTGGCCTCTCAGGGCGCCTGCTACCAACACCCCCCCCACCCCCTCCCCGGGAGAGGTCTCTGAAAAACCGGAACCCTTCCGTTCCGGTCCTCTCACGGGTACGCTGCCACTGGCTGTGGACAGATGCTAAAACAGCGTATCTGGCCAAAACCGGTGTGGCTCAGTGGATAGAGCGTCAGCCTGCGGACTGATGGGTCCCGGGTTCGGTTCCGGTCAAAGGCATGACCTTGGTGGCGGGCATATCCCCAGGAGGGGGTGTGCAAGAGGCAGCTGATTGATGACTCTCTCTCATCGATGTTTCTAACTCTATCTCTCTCCCTTTCTCTCTGCATAAAATCAATAAAATACATTTAAAAAAAAACAGCATATCTGCAGCGTGTGCTCTTACCAGAATACGAGAGAAATGTTTCTGCCCTGGCCGGTGTTGCTCAGTGGATAGAGCATCGGCTTGTGGTCCCGGGTTCGATTGCAGGTTCCTCCCCGGCCTGGGCCCTGGTCAGAGCACATGCAGGAGGCAACCCATCGATGTCTCTCTCTCTCTTCCATTCTTCCTATAAATCAATGGGGAAAATACCCTCGGGTGAGGATTAAAGAAAAAGAGAAAGAGAATTGTTTTTCTTGGCCTCGGGATGAGCAAAGGGAGAACGGCGTAGGGCTCACGGAGGGGCACACGGCCAAGGTCAGGAGACCTGGACGCGAAGCTCACGCGCTGCTCGCTCCCTGGCACCTGGGCATGTCGCCCGCTGGCTCGGCCTCCCGTCCATGCGACAGGGGCACTGGGCTCCGCTCCGGCCTCCCCAGCTGGGCCTGAGGGGACAGCACACAGGTGAGCGTGGCAGCGGGGTACCTGCCACACGAGGGTCACGTCTCGGGGGCACTGGTGCTCTGTCACGTCGAGGCCTAACCACTGCCCCACCCTGTCTCTCGGAGGGGGGGGGGGAGGGAAGGTGTCCATCCCTGGACACTAGGAGGGGTTCATCTCCACTTGCCACTCAACAATAAGGTGACCAGATGTCCCGCTTTAAAAAACTGGGACTTGCCGAAACCGGTGTGGCTCAGTGGATAGAGCGTCGGCCTGCAGACTGAAAGGTCCCGGGTTCGATTCCGGTCAAGGGCATGTGCCTTGGTTGCGGGCACATCCCCAGTAAAGGGGGGTGGGGGTGTGTGTGCAGGAGGCAGCTGATGGATGTTTCTCTCTCATCGATGTTTCTGACTCTCTATCCTTCTCTCTGTAAAATATCAATAAAATATATATATATATATATTTTTTTTTTTTTTTTTATTTTGGGACTTTTTCAAAACGCCGTGGGACACGGGACAAACTTAAAAATCGGGACTGTCCCGCCAAAAGCGGGACGTCTGGTCACCTTACATTAACATGGCGATGCACCCCGCCTGGCCTTGACTGGAACGGAAGTCATCGTTAAGGCTCGTTAGGAATGAGGGGCCCCCGGGTGTACGTGGCTTCGCTTAGGCCCCGGGTTCCATGGGGCGGAAAGATTCTAACCAGGGCCGGGCCGCCTCGGGTGGAGACGCCACAGCCAGGAGGCGGCACCGGCCTCGCCCCTCCCAGCAGCTCCTGGGGTGCTCCTGGGGGACAGGTCTGTCCCGCCCGCTCCTGGCAGCCGACAGTGACCCCGAAGGGCATGGGGACGGTTAGCGGGCTCCCGGCAAACCGGGGGAAGTCAGGGTTGGTGCCATGCACGACCCTGAGCCGCCCGCTCGAAGCCACAGGCTGCCAGGCGGGGCCAGTCTCGGCTGCCGACCCGGCTCACTGCTCTTAAAAGGAAGTAAATGGCCGAAACCGGCCGGTGTGGCTCAGTGGATAGAGCGTCGGCCTGCGGACCGGTGGGGGGAGGGGGAGGGGGATTCCGGGTTCGATTCCGATCAAGGGCACGTACATTGGTTGCAGGCACATCCCCAGTGCAGGGGGAGGGGGTGCGGGAGGCGGCTGATGGATGTTTCTCTCTCATTGATGTTTCTAGCTCTCTGTCTCTCTCCCTTCCTCTCTGTAAAACAATCGATAAAATATATTTTTTTTAAAAAAGAAGTAAATAAAAAAAAATGTGACATTTTTAGAGAGGAACAGAGAACACAAGCCCAGGGCGTCATGACGCTGTGCTCTCCCTGCGAAGGGGCCCGTGGCTCGGGCTTGGGGCCTGGGCCACGTTAGCGCTGGCTGAGCCGCCGCCCGGGGTCTGAGCTCCTCCGAGCCCGTCAGGGACTGCGAGGGGGCGGATCCCGGGACGCAGCTGCCACCGTGGTAACAGCTCCGCCGCTTCGGGCGTTTGCTACAGTCACTGGTTAACAAGACCCGCGTGGAGCCCTGGCCGGTGCGGCTCAGTGGATAGAGCGCCGGCCGGTGGACCAAAGGGTCCCGGGTTCGGTTCTGGTCAAGGGCAGGGACCTCGGTTACAGGCTCCTCCCCAGGCTGGGCCCTTGTCAGGGCGCGTGCGGGAGGCAACCCATCGGAGTGTCTCTCTCCCATCGATGTTTCTCTCCGTCTCTCCCTCTCTCTTCCCCTCTCGCTGAAATCAATGGAAAAAATAGCCTCGCGTGAGGATGAACAACAGCAACACAAGGAAGACCCACGCAGAGGCTTTAGACCTGCTCCCGGGCAGCCCCACGTGCCCCGTCTGCCGCCAGGTGGGCTGAGCTGCCTGGGAAGATCTCTGTACCCACTGCCACCAGGCCAGGCCCAGCACAAGCCCCGCCGCCTGCAGCCGAGTCTCCAGCTCAGCCGGTGAGGAGCTGCCTCCTGGGCTCCGGGGGAGGGCGGGCCAGCTGCGCCCTGCATCTCCTGAGCGCTGTGCCCCAGGCCGCCGGCCCGCCCTCCTCCTCCCAGCTCCCTCCTCCCCTAAGCACGGGGCTCAGCTCCGCGGAGGGGGCGCCCGGGTCATGCCTTCCGGTGCCTGCGCTCCCTCGGGCTGTGTCAGCATTTGCCCCAACGCAGCAGGGAGAGACCCTGCCCACGTGGGAACGCCTTTCTGGAAGGGGAAGTTCTCTCAGTGGTTCACGGAGCAGGTAATGGCCAGGTAATGACTCAACCGCTGTGCCAGCCCGGCAGGCCCTGCCAGGGAAGGATGACCACTGAGAGGAGAGGCCGGTGGTGCCAGCCCCCAGGCCAAGGCCAGCCTCACCTTCCCCCTGGGCGGGTGTGACTCCTTCCTCGCCTGCCCACCCTCAACAGAGGACCCCACCCCGGGTCCCAGTGGGCACCCCAACCCCAGGGACAGCCCCTGGTCCTGGAATCCCAGCTACAGGCCCCACGACTGGAGAGTGATGGGGGAGGGGGGGGGGGTGTTCCGGAGTCAGAGACCCATCCAGAGGGCCGTGGATGGGGGCCTGGGGCGGGAGGGGCTCCGACCGGCTCCTGCTGCATCCACTGCCACCCTCCCAGCCACGGGGCCACGGGGCCAGGCCACGGGCTTGACCACGCAAGTGCATTCACGTCCGATGCTGAGCCAGGGCGCCAGGATGCCGGCCTGTCGGCAGGGACTCTGCCGGGGCTGGATTGAAACGCTCAATCCCGTGCGCGTGTTTCATCGAACGAGTGTTTATTAAGCACCTACTGTGTGCGAGGCGCCCCTCCCTGCGTGCTGCCGCGCCACGGCACAGCCATCTGCTCAGAGAATCAAACCAAGGAAAGGAGCGTGGTCGCAGCCTCACAACTGGGGCGGGGATGAGGGGGCAGAGGGGGCAGAAGGTCCCCGAGCTATGGGGAGGGAGCTTTTACCTCCACCGCGGCCACGCTCGGGCGCCTGGGGGACATCCCGATACCCCGAATGCCGTTCAAAAAAAAAAACAAAACAAAACAAAACAGGAGGTGTAAAGGGTACTCACATTTGGATTAGAAAACTCATTTCAGCTCATGGGGCTGCACAAACCCTTAAGAAAGATATAAACATCCCTGCCCTGACTGCGTAAACGTTTAAGGTAGACCTAGTCTGGATTCCTGAGTCAGAATCTTCCAGGGTGGCCCCGGCCTCGAAAAGGCCGGAGGAGCGGAGCGAGAGGAGCCCGCGATCCCGGAGGCGGCGGAGGCAGCGGGCGCGGAGGAGGGGGCTCGGCGGCGGCCTGGGACCCGCGCCCCGGCTGCGCCCGCGTGGACAGAGGCGACGCCGGCGGCCGGACCTGTCCGCGGCCCCGGCTGCCCGCGCGCACACACACACCTGCGGCTCCCGGGCCGGGGGCCGGGGGGCCGGGAGCCCTAGTTGTCGGTGCCCAGCTTGGAGAGGCCGCGGCGGAAGTCGTGCAGGTCGTCGATCTTGCCGTCCAGCACCTCCAGGAAGTTCTTCAGCTCCACCTTTAGGTGGCGCTGCCGGTACTTGCTCTCCTCAATGTCCATCTTCAGGGAGCGCACTTTGTCCTCCAGGTTCTGATTGTCTTTCTCGGCTGCCTGAAGCAAAAGCAAAGGAGAGGGGTCTGGGAAACGTGCGGGAGACGGGGCGGGAGGGGGGGGGGGGAGAGCCGCGGAGACCTGCTCCAGCTGCAGCCCAGACCCGTTAGTTCCTCAGCACACAGACCGGGGGCATCTCAGCGTGTCCTTCTTTCCTGCCTGTCTGTCCCTTTCACCAGCGCGAGGCATTGCCAGCCCCAGGCCCAGACGGTCAGCAGATGCCCACGCAGCTCCATTTTTTTAAAAAATATATTTTTTATTGATTTTTTTACAGAGAGGAAGGGAAAGAGATAGAGAGCTAGAAACGTCGATGAGAGAGAAACACCGACCAGCTGCCTCTTGCACACCCCCTACCGGGGATGTGCCCACAACCGATGCGCATGCCCCTTGACCAGAATCGAACCTGGGACCTTTCAGTCCGCAGACTGACGCTCTACCACTGAGCCAAACCGGTTTCGGCTACTCAGCTCCACTCTGATAACCCAACTAGGCCAGTGGTCGGGAAACTGCGGCTCGAGAGCCACGTGCGGTGTGCCGCTCTGCTGATGAATGAGTTTGCCGACCACTGACCTAGGCTCTCAATTCCAATGATTATGGGCTGTTGTTGTTCCTTGTGATGAAGGCCCTATTCCAGTGGTCGGCAAACCGCAGCTCGAGAGCCTTATGCGGCTCTTTGGCGACTGAAGAAGGAGTGCCCTAATTAAGCTAATAAATAATAATGTACTTACCTATATAGTTTAAGTTTTTTTTAAAAATATATATATATATATATTTTATTGATTTTTTACAGAGAGGACGGGAGAGGGATAGAGAGCTAGAAACATCAATAAGAGAGAAATATCGACCAGCTGCCTCCTGCACGCCCCCTACCGGGAATGTGCCTGCAACCAAGGTACATGCCCTTGACTGGAATCGAACCTGGGACCCTTCAGTCCGCAGGTCGACCCTCTCTCTATCCATTGAGCCAAAGCGATTTCAGCTATATAGCTTAAGTTTAAAAAATGTGGCTCTCAAAAGAAATTTCAGTCGTTGTCCTGTTGATATTTGGCTCTGTGGACTGAGTTTGCCGACCACTGACCTAACCCTAACCAGTTGCTAAAGCTGGGGCTGCCCACCTGAATATAGGGCTCCTGAAAGGGAGGAGGTAGAGGAGGAGGTTAAAAACCCTCCTTTTGTGACCAGAAACCTGAGGCCAGCCCGGCCAGTGTGGCTCAGTGGTTAAGCACTGACCTAGGAACCTGGCAGTTATGGCTTGATTCTGGTTAGGGCACAGGCCTGGGTTGCGGGCTCGATCCCCCATGTGGGGCGTGCAGGGGGCAACAGATAAATGATTCTCTCGCATCACTGATGTTTCTCTCTCTCTCTTTCTCCCTTCCTCTCTGAAATAAATTAAATTTTTTTAAAAATCTGAGGCCAGTGAGGGGGGGGGTCTACCCCAAGACAGCGTGTAAGTTCACGGCTGGAGAGTGGAGAGGGGGGCCAGCATCCGGGTCTTACGCCCTTAGCCCTTTCTCTGCCCCCACTCCTCACCCCTCCGGTTCTGCAGGGGCTTCTGTGGGCGGGAAACGGTTGGTTTGTGGCACAGGACACCTTCGTTAGGTGGAAAAGCCACAAGACAAACGCTGCTGAGCCTTCTTGGGGATGGGGGGGAGGGGGAACCCCCTCAGGAAGAGTCACATGACCAGCGCCTTCTCATCTGCGCCTCCTGCCCTTACCTCTAGCTTCTCAGAGACGTATTCACACTCCGACATGAGCTGAGGTATGATTTCGCTCTGTTTCCGGAGATCTTTCAACTCCTGTGGGAGAAAGAAGTTTGAAGAAGAATGTGAAGTCAAGTCAGATGAGAGGCATTCTTTTTTTAAAATATATATATATTTTATTGATTTTTTTACAGAGAGGAAGGGAGAGGGATAGGGAGCTAGAAACATCGATGAGAGAGAATCATTGACCAACTGACTCTTGCACACCCCCTAATGGGAATGTGCCCGCAACCAAGGTCCATGCCCTTGACCGGAATCGAACCTGGCACCCTTCAGTCCGCAGGTCGATGCTCTATCCACTGAGCCAATCCGGTTTTGGCAAGAGGCATTCTTGAACCCCCGCACCCGGGCCCCCACTTGGAGATCTCGGAATGGAAGCAGCTTCTGGAACCCATGCTGTTTGCACAGATAACAAAGGTGAGGACTAACACTGAGCCCCTCACATAGTCTAAGGGCGGAGGGCAGGACACGCACAATTGCACGAAGTCGGCGCATCACCATGGCAGACAGGTCTCCTTATGCTTCGTGCTTTGTCGGTGGGGAAACTGAGGCAGGGAACAGTTTGGCAGCCTGCCCGTGGACTCCAGCCTCTGTGTACTTAGCAGTCCAACCCCCCTTCCACTCCCCCCCTCCCCCGAAAACCAACGGCAACGATTGCTGGCTCTCACTGCACTCATCTGGCAGCAGAGTTCAGCTTCTGATGACAGTCTGTCTAAAAAGTTCCCAAGAAGCCGATGTGGCTAAGAGAATAGAGCGTCGGCCTGCGGATTGAAAGGTCCCAGGTTCGATTCCGGTCAAGGGCATGGACCTTGGTTGTGGGCACGTCCCCAGTGGGGGGTGTGCAGGAGGCAACTGATCGATGTTTCTCTCTCATCGATGTTTCTAACTCTCTATCCCTCTCCCTTCCTCTCTGTTAAAAAAAAAATATATAAAAAAAATCAATAAAATATATTTTAAAAAAAAATTTCCCAAGTGACTGGTACAAAGTTCAAAGTTCAGCTGCCTCTTGGATCGGGGTGGCTGACCACACAGCACACACAGTGAAGAGGCTGTAGTGTCTGCGCCCTGACGTGACTCTGGGCTCTGACTCTGCCCATGTCCAGGCAGCTGGTGGGGCCGTCACGTGCCCAGTCACCTGCCGTGCCCTCGGGGGGAGCTCGCCTGCAGGCCCAGAGGACACGGGGCGGGGGGTTGGGGGGGGGAAGCATCTGGGCTGTTACTCACCGAGTCCTTCTCTCGGAGCTCGGATTCCAGATCCTCGATCCTCCGCTTCAGCTGGATGTTCTTCTCCTTCTCTCTGTTGATCTCGCTGCACTGCTCTTCCAGCTCGTCAATCTGCGGGGAACGTCACGCGTGAGGCAGGGGAGCTAGTTTGCTTCGGTCATTAAATCAAAGAGCGAAACGGTGCTGTTTATGCTTCCTTCCTTTCTTTCTTTTTTTTAAAACATATTTTATTACTTTTTTTTACAGAGAGGGAGTGAGATAGTCAGAAACATCGATGATGAGAGAGAGTCATCCATCAGCTGCCTCTTGCACACCCCCCACTGGGGATGTGCCCGCAACCAAGGTCCATGCCCTTGACTGGAATCGAACCCGGGGCCCTTCAGTCCGCAGGCCCACGCTCTATCCATTGAGGCACGCCGGTTTCGGCTCATTTCTTTTATAAAAAATCTTTTATTGTTGAGATTATTACAGATGTCCCTCTTTTTCCCCTCCCCTAAAATAGAATCTTTCTTTTTTTTTCTTTCTGTTAATCCTCACCTGAGGATATTTTTCCATTGATTTTTTTTCAGAGAGAGGGAAAGAGAGAGGGAAAGACAGGAACATGGATTGGGTGCCTTCTGTATGTGTCCCAACCAGGACCCAGGTCAGGGAGGAGCCTGCAACCAAGGTATGTGCCCCTGACCGGAACTGAACCCAGGACCCTTTGGTCCGCAGGCCGATGCTCTATCCACTGAGCCACACCGGCTAGGCCTATGCTTTCTTTTAAAATAAACCTAAAACTAACCCACTTGTGTTTCTCAGAGGCTGCCCTTGAACTCCATGTGACTCCGGAGGGACTGCCGGTCCCTTTTGGCAGGAGGTGCCTCCTCACCCACCAGCAGCAGCGCCCACTGGCCTTCGGGTGCCCCGGGCTCCTGGCTGCTCTCGGGGCCACAGGACATGCACTGCAGGTTTGCTTTAAGGCACATGTGTCAAACACAAGGCCCGCGGGCCAAATCCGTCCCGCCAGGCCTTGCAATGTGGCCCGAACCGCGCTGTCATCACTGCACTCCGCTGCGTTTCCATCACAATGACAGTTTATGACTGTTCAGTAAACCATTCGGCCCGCGATTTAGGCTGGATTTTAGATTTTGGCCCCTTCTCTGATTGAGTTCGACACCCCTACTTTAAGGATTTGTCACGAGCAGGATCTACCGGCTTCTCCCCGGAATGGTTTTACATCCTTTTTTTTTTTTTAAATCAGCATAAAAATTCATTCCATTTCCAGTGATTTTTTACATCATTTTAATCACTTCCTAAATTATTCCGTTTCCTGGGTCTAAGCCAGCGGGGTGAACAGCAGAGCCCTGGGGGGCGGGGGCCACCAAGCGGGATGTGATGACATTTCAAACATTTTCACTCAGGTCGACCTTTCCCTCGCGGTGCACGCGGGAGCCTGGCCTGCAGGCCTCTTTCTGGAAGTGTGTGTGTGTGTGTGTGTGTGTGTGTGTGTGTGCGCGCGCGCGCGCGCGCACGCGCGCGCAGGGGGGGGAGGGGTTTGCAAATTCCCAGGGTGCACCTTTCTCTCCCTCCCCAGCCTGCTCTCTCAGAGCAACAGCCAAGGCCAAGGCCGGAGTGTGTGTGCAGAGTGAACAGCAAGAGCGGGACCCACGTGTAGCACAAAAGCGCCGAGTTGCCGAAACCGGTGTGGCTCAGTGGGTAGAGCGTCGGGCTGCGGACTGAAAGGTCCCGGGTTCGATTCCGGTCAAGGGCATGTACCTTGGTTGCGGGCACATCCCCGGTAGGGGTTGTGCAGGAGGCAGCTGATCAATGGTTCTCTCTTATCGATGTTTCTAGCTCTCTGTCCCTCTCTCTTCCTCTCTGTAAAAAATCAATAAAATATATTATTTAAAAAAAAAAAAGCGCTGCGGGGATGGGGTCCCCACAAGCGGGGGATGCGCTGTGAGAACTCTGCCTAAAGGCGGGGTGCACCCCAGCCAAGGGGCCCCCTAGCGAGCACTTCCTCCGCCCGCCCTGCCCTTGGGCGTGTACTCTCAGGCGCAGAGGGAAGCGGGCACTTTGCTTGGAAAAAGAGCGCGCGGGCCATCCATCAGCCAGTCTGGGAAGGGCCCATGCGGAGTCAGCACCTGGCCCGGTGCCCCTCGCTGTCAGCACTGTGGGCACCGAAATGAAAAAGCGACACCAGGCAGTGCCATCTGTGCCACGGAAGATGGTGAGACAGTGTCCTCCGCTGGCTCCCCGCAGGTCAGGGGGGCCGGGGAGAGTGAAGGCCAATGTCAAATGCTGCGTCCCCCTGTCGTGTCCACGGCCTGTAAACGTGCTGGCCGTTCAAACGTGGTCAGGCCGAAACCGGTTTGGCTCAGTGAATAGAGTGTCCGCCTGTGGACCAAAGAGTCCCAGGTTCGATTCCGGTCAAGGGCATGGACCTTGGTTGCGGGCACATTCCCGGTGGGGGGTGTGCAGGAGGCAGCTGGTCGATGTTTCTCTCTCATCGATGTTTCTAACTCTCTCTCCCTCTCCCTTCCTCTCTGTAAAAAGTCAATAAAATATATTAAAAACACACACACACACACACACAAATATGGTCAGCCCGGCCGGTGTGGTTCAGTGGTTGAGCATTGACCTATGAACCAGGAGGTCAAGGTTCGACTCCCTGTCAAGGGCACAGGCCCAGGTTGTGGGCTCGATCCCCAGTGGGGGGGGCGTGCAGGGGCAGCTGATCAATGATTCTCTTATCATTGATGTTTCCATCTCTTTCTCCCTCTTCCTTCCTCTCTGAAATCAATAAAAATATCTTTATAAAAAAATAAGGTAATAGTTGAAACCAGTTTGGCTCAGTGGATAGAGCGTCGGCCTGCGGACCGAGGGGTCCCATGTTCGATTCCCGTCAAGGGCATGTGCTTGGGTTGCCGGCACATCCCCAGTAGGGGATGTGCAACAGGCAGCTGATTGATGATTCTCTCTCATCGATGTTTCTAGCTCTCTATCCCTCTCTCTTCCTCTCTGTAAAAAAATCAATAAAATATATATCTTTTAAAAATCTTTATTAAAAAATAAGGTAATAAATCAGTGATCGAAGCAGAGGGAGGTTCAGAGAGGGAGGCAGCCAGTCTCCCTGCTGGGGAGAAGGGACCCCGGCCGCCCTCCCGCAGGCTGTGCCCCCCAGACCCTCCCGTCCGCCCCCTGGGCCCACCTTGTGCCGCAGCCGGTCGTTCTCGTCCCGGCAGATGGAGAACTGCCGCTTCCACTGCTCCACGCTGGTGGCGGACTCCTGCAGCGCCGTGGTCAGCCGCGCGTTGCTCTCCCGCAGGGTCTGCAGCTCGATCTCCCATTTCTTCACGTTGGCGGCGCTGCAAGGCGGGGGCCGGGGGGTGACCGGGAGGGCGGGTGCCAGAGGGACCGGCCTGTCTTGTATGGACCCATCCCCTTGCTGGGCTGTTTTCCTAAAAGAGTCCCTTTAGAGTCCCGGCCAGGGTGGCCCAGTGGATAGCGCGCCCGCCGGCCTGTGGCCCAAAGGGTCCCGGGTTCGATTCCGGTCAAGGGCATGGACCTCGGATGCAGGCTCCTCCCCAGCCAGGCCCTGGTCGGGGCTCATGCAGGAGGCAACCAATTGATGTGTTTCTCTTACACTGATGTTTCTCTCTCTCTCTTCCACTCTCTCAAAACTCAGTGGATAATAATAATAATAATAATAATAATAATGCTTTTTTAAAAAGGAATTAAAAATCAATGAAAAAATAGCCTCAGATAAGGATTTAAAAAAAAAAGAATCACTTTAGAAATGAACAGAATTCTTAGAGAAGGAGTCAAGCTCAGAGGCAGATCCCGCCCCTCCTGGCCCCAGCGGAGCCCTCACGCAGAGGGAGAGCCGCTTCCTCCCTGGAATGAGCCTCCTTTTAGGAAGTTCGGACGTCCTGGGCCGCCGGGGCCTCAGAGAACCTCACGAAAGCTCCTGGGCCCTTTCAACAAGTTCCTGACACCTATTTTGGAGCCAACACACACACACACACACACACACACACACACACTCACACACACACACACTCACACACACACACACAGAGACACACATTCTCACACACACACACACACATTCTCACACACACACAACTCACAAACACACACACACACACTCACACACATGGACACACGCACACAGAGACACATGCACACACACAGACACAGTCACACACATGGACACACGCACACAGAGACACATGCACACACACACAGAGACACACGGAGACACATAGAGACACACACGGACACACACATACAGACACACACAGAGACAGACACATACACTCACACACAGACACACACACAGAGACACACACACATACACACACCCCCCAGATTTAAAAGCAAATAGGTGATAACGGTCCCACTCTCACTGGTCCCTCCTTAAGGCCTCTGAAGCAGGTGGGCAGCATAGTAAGCCCAGGAAACCATCAGGCTTGGACTCCAAATTCAATAGATCCAGGAGCTTTTTTCATAGCAACATAAACTTACCTGCAGTGAATTCTATGAAGCGAACGAGGCTATAAATATCCCAACGGCTCTTGGCAGAAAAAGGGTCCCCCAGCCCTGGCATCGAAAGGAATCCAGATCTGAGAGGACGAGGGCAAGGAGACCAAGACTGGGACTCCGCTGAGGGCAGGAGAGGGCGTCTAACCACAGGCCTGAGGGACCCCTCTCCGGTACCACATAAACCCCGAGTTCAACTTTTTCTTTTTGTTGTTGTTGTTGTTAATCCTCACCCCAGGATATTTTTCCATTGATTTTTTAGGGAGCGTGGAAGAGAGAGGGAGAGACAGAGAGAAACATCGATGTGAGAGAAACACATCGATGGGTTTGCCTCCTGCACGAGCCCCAATCAGGGGCTGCCATTGACCAGAATGGAACCCAGGACCCCTTGGTCCGCAGGCGGATGCTCTACCCACTGAGCCACACTGGCCAGGCCCACGTTTATCTTTGACCCTACGCTTTCGGGGAAGAAATTTCAGAAAACAAACTTGAGTCGGGCTCCCCAAAGAGGCTGGTTGGTTTGCAGGCTCCCTGGTTTCCCTGCTCACAGCCCCGGAATCTGTGGTCTGAACATCTTGGGTGATAGGCAGATGTTCTTGCACCCCGAGTTGTCAGAGTCTGGGCTCCGGCTTAGCGGCCCCTGGCTGAGGGGAGTGCTGCGTCTAACAGCTTTTTATTTTTTATTTTATTTTTTTAAAAATATATTTTATTGATTTTTTACAGAGAGGAAGAGAGAGGGATAGAGAGTTAGAAACATCGATGAGAGAGAATCATGGATCAGCTGCCTCCTGCACACCCCCCACTGGCGATGTGCCCGCAACCAAGGTACATGCCCTTGACCGGAATCGAACCCGGGACCTTTCAGCCCGCAGGCGGATGCTCTGTCCACTGAGCAACACCGGTTTTGGCCTAACAGCTTTTTAAACAATAAATGCAGCTGTGTCTGGATAATCTGCATTCTCTTTCATCCCACAGCCTCAAGGACCCAGGAGTGTGGTAGGAAAATACACACTTCCAGGTCAAACCATACGGATAGAAAAAAAAAATAGAAAGCATTATTATCTGATTCATTCCAGGCTGATGATGGAAAACTTAAGCTGATTCGGGGAAACGACTCTTGCTCATTCCTATAATCCACTTCTCAACTAAATTAGGATTTCAAAACATTGATTTTTAGGGCTAAAATGTTTTCATTCAGGCAGCAAGCACCCTGTGACTTAAACAACCAAGAATAGACCCGGCCGGCATAGCTCAGTGGTTGAGCACTGACTAGGAACCAGGAGGTCCCGGTTCAATTCCCAATCAGGGCACCTGCCCGGGTTGCGAGCTTGATCCCCAGCAGGGGGCGTGATTCTCAATGATTTCCTCTCATCGTTGATGTGTGTGTGTGTCTCTCTCCGTCTCCCTTCCTCTCTGAAATCAATAAAAACATATTTAATCCGAAACTGGTTTGGCTCAGTAGATAGTGTCAGTCTGTGGACTGAAAGGTCCCAGGTTCAATTCCAGTCAAGGGCACGTACATTGGTTGCGGGCACATCCCCAGTGGGGGGTGTGCAAGAGGCAGCTGATGGATGATTCTCTCTCATCGATGTTTCTAGCTCTCTATTTCTCTCCCTTCCTTTCTGTAAAAAAAATCAATAAAATATATATATTTAAAAACAAAATGATTACACAACCAAGAATAGTCCTGATAGCTGTCTGATGAGAAAAAAATAAAAGAGTCTGGTCACGGCTCTGTCCTTTGATACCCTGACAAAGCCCACAATCCAAAACCGGGGAGGCTGGGTCTAAGGGTCACCGTTGCCTGGACTCATAGGCATTAACCTCTGAGAGCAGCCAAAACCGATGTGGCTCAGTGGATAGAACGTTGGCCTGCGGACTGAAAGGTCCCGAGTTCGATTCCGGTCAGGAGCATGGACCTTGGTTGCGGGCACATCCCCAGAGGGGGGTGTGCAGGAGGCAGCTGATGGATGATTCTCTCTCATCGATGTTTCTAACTCTCTATCCCTCTCTCTTCCTCTCTGTAAAAATCAATCAAATTAAAAAATAAAAAAGTGAACAGGCCGGGCCAGCGGATTAGAGAGAGTTGGCTGTCAGCAGGCGTGGCCAGCGTGTGTGATGCTGTGGCCAGGGAGGCGGAGAGCAGCCACAGGCCGGCTGACCGGCTTCCCCGGGCCAGGAGGGGAGACCGGCCCCGCCCCGCTCCGGAGCAGCGGCGTCCGGACGTCAGCCCCTCCCTTACCTCTGCGTCAGCGCGATCTTCAGCTTGTTGTTCTCGGACTTGAGGTGGGTTTCCACGGGGCCGGCGTGCGATGCCTTTTCGTCGTCGGTCCCGTTGACACTGGAGGCCTGCGCAGAAGACGGGGTTTCACACCCGGACCCCTGGCCAAAGCGAATCCCCTCGCACATCCCTGCGGGGCCTTCCGGGGGCAGCCAGTCGGGCATAACGGGACACCGTTTCTGAGGGTGGGAGCCGCTCACCCGACCCACTCGCAGCAGCAACGGATAAGTCAGGGACCGTCAAGAACCAAGGACAAGCCGGAACCGGTGTGGCTCAGTGGATAGAGCGTTGGCCTGCGGACTCAAGGGTCCCAGGTTCGATTCCGGTCAAGGGCATGGACCTTGGTTGTGGGCACATCCCCGGTGGGGGGTGTGCAGGAGGCAGCTGATCGATGTTTTTCGCTCATCGATGTTTCTAACTCTCTATCCCTCTCCCTTCCTCTCTGTAAGAAATCAATAAAAACAAACAAATAAACAAAAAAAACAAGGACAAGGCCCAGGAAGCCCCACAGTGAGCTCAGAGTCTGTGCACTTCACAGACCAGCGAGCACCTGGGGCCGCTATTCTGGGCCATTTTATTTTTTATTTTTTAAAAAATGTAATTTATTGATTTTTTTTTTTTTTTTTTTTTACAGAGAGGAAGGGAGAGGGATAGAGAGTTAGAAACATCGATGAGAGAGAATCCTCGATCAACTGCCTCCTGCACACCCCCCACGGGAGATGTGCCCACAACCAAGGTCCATGCCCTTGACCGGAATCGAACCTGGGACCCTTCAGTCTGCAGGCCGACGCTCTATCCACTGAGCCACACTGGTTTCGGCTATTCTGGGCCATTTTACTCTTCCTCTGCACATAAACCTAACACACCTAGATACCTGGTCTCCTTAAATAACACCGACAGAAGCCACCAATTAAAAGAGGAGGAATGACTTATAGCGAGGAGAGAAAAAAACCGTTACAAGCCGAGACAGCTTAAGCATCCTGGGGCTGCAAGAGGAAGATCCACAGTCATTAAAGCAACGGGGACCGGCTCCGGCTGGCTGTGGTCTCCATGACTATTTAGCGTGTTATGAATATTCTGAGATGTTTTCTGTAATAAGTCATCCCACATGGTGGTGAAATCTCATCTGCTCTTGGATAAGATCTCAGCAGGCTCTTATTTAGCTCCCAATATGCATAATGGCAAAGGAAGGAGCCATGGAGGGAAGGATGTATAAATCTGAACTAACTTTACATTCCTACCTTGCAAAAAAAAAAAAAAAATGCCATAAACAAAATTAAAAGGCAAATAAAAGTGTGGGGAGCCTGGCTAGTGTGGCTCAGTGGTTGAGCATCAACCTACTGACCTGGACCAGGAGGTCAAGGTTCGATTCCCAGTCAGGGGCACATGCCCGGGGGACGTGCAAGAAGCAGCCGATCAATGATTCTTATCATTGATGTTTCTATCTCTTTCTCCCTTTCTCTCTGAAAACAATAAAAATACATTAAAACAAAACCTCCGGGAAATATCTGCTGTTAAATGTTTGCAGATACTAAAGGCAAAATGTTAATACTGTCAAGCCGTGGGTGTCAGTCTTGACTGCTCCAGGTGCCCAAGCTTCCTGGTTTCCCCACCACCACCACCGGCTGTCTTTGACATTTATCCTTCCTCTTTACCTTGCACCTGCCCTGCCAGGCCATCCTCCACCCCACGGCCTCCTTGCGACCCTCTGTGGCACCCTGACTTCCTTACCACTCACTGGTGACCCTCATGCAAATTCCAGATCAACAGTCATAAAACACCCCCGATGTCTGTCAACTACTCAATGAGAAATAATCTATAATAATAAAAGCATAATATGCTAGTTAGACGGGACAGCTGAATGACCTTCTGGACATCATTCTGGATGTCCTTCTGGATGAAGCTGTGGCAGTGGGAGCTGAGGAAGAGGTGGTTAGGGGTGATCATGCAGGCAGGCAAGTGGTTAGGGGCGATGAGGCAAGCAGGCAGAGTGGTTAGGGGCAATCAAGCAGGCAGGCAAGTGGTTAGGGGCGATTAGGCAGGCAGGCAGACAGAGTGACGAGGGGTGATCAGGCAGGCATGCAGGTGAGCAGTTAGGAGCCAGTGGTCCCGGACTGCGAGAGGGTGCAGACTGGGCTGAGGGACCCACCCACTGTGCACAAATTTCGTGCACTGGCCTCTAGTGAAATTAACAATAAACTATCTGCTCGTGAAGAATTCCAGGTCTTTTCCAGTATCTGCAAGTGCATGGCTGTCCCTCCCACAGGGCACCTCACTCCCAGCCCCACTGGGGCCTGCCTGGCCGTCTTGCTGTTACACCTACTTAATCCCAAACCCACATCTTTGCTCCTGATGTTGCCTTTCCCTGTCTCCCTCCAGACAACCTTGTCACTGGATCAAGCCTTCCGTCCACCGCTACATACACCAATCTAGACATCAGGAATGCAGGCATTTTTATCTCAGGTCACAACAGTTTCCTCTCTTTTGTTGTTGTTAGTCCTCAGCTGAGGACATTTTTCTGTTGATTTCCAGAGAGAGAGTGTACAGGACAGGCAGAGACAGAGACAGAGAAACAGCAATGGAAGAGAGACACATCGATTGGTTGTCTCCTACATGCAACCAGGCCTGGAGATCAAACCTGCAACCAACGTAAATGCCCTTGACCGGAGCCAAACCCAGGACCCTTCAGCCCGAGGGCCGACATTCTAACCACTGAGCCAAACCAGCTAGGGAAACAGGTCCTTCTTAGTCAACCATCACCCTGTTGAGTAAAGAGGCCCCTGCAGCTACATGTATATAACTCACAGACAGACGATAGTGTGGTGGAGGCCTGGGGTGGGGAGGGGACGAGAAGGGGTCCATGGGGAAGCAAAGGGGACACATGTAATACTTTCAACAATGAAGATTTTTTTAAAGAGTAAGGAACCCCATGGGGAACAGAATGCCCAGCTGCTAAATCCCGTTTCCGGTCCAAGTGACAAGGGACAGAGTCTCAGTCCCAGCTTTACTCTGTGACAAGCTACTCACCTGGGAATGGTTACTGGACGTCTCGATTTTCTCCTGCGACTTGTCTCTGGCAAGCCTGGCAGCTTCTTTCACCTCCTGGAATTTCTCTGCGAACTGAATGTGAAGAACAGTTAGGACGGTGTTTCGTGGCTGATGTTCAGCATGCAGCTTTATTGGCTTGCATCCCTTTTAGGCCAATACGCTCGGTACCAATCCTGAAGGAGGATTTCACTTGAGATTAAAAAAAAAAGAAATGGGTAGAAGGAATGCTTCTTCCAATAAACACTATTGGCCAAAGTCTGATCCGGGTCAATTCCTCAGCCAGCGTGATGATGAAGGACTGAAACAAACATCCCCGGTTAACGGTAACTCATACCAAGACAAGAAAAGAAATTCGGTTGTATCACAGAGGGAATCTGTGGAAAACTACATCATGTCTAAGGAAAGATCCAAGAACTCTTACAAGTCAATGCAATAAAATAAAAAAAATAAATAAATAAAGTTAGGGAGAAGACACTGTTCTAGATTTTATTTTTTTAACTTTTTATTTTTATTTTTATTATTTTAAAAATATATTTTATTGATTTTTCACAGAGAGAAAGGGAGAGGGATAGAGAGTTAGAAACATCAAAGAGAGAGAAACATTGACCAGCTGCCTCTTGCACACCCCCCACTGGGGATGTGCCTGCAACCAAGGTGTATGCCCCTGACCAGAATTGAACCCAGGACCCTTCAGTCTGCAGGCTGACGCTCTATCCACTGAGCCACACCGGTTTCGACTAGATTTTAAAAGCATGATATAAAATACCAAAATGCCAAATAGCGAAATGCACACGTGTTCTATGACTGAACCCTGTTTTGAATAAACCACCTATACACAACAGGTGAAATGTGACCGTGGACTGGCTGAGACCACAAAGAAGAATTACTATTAATTTTATTACAAGTGTTGCCCTGCCTGGCTAGTGTGGCTCAGTAGATGAACATCAACCCAGGAACCAAGAGGTCACTGGTTTGATTCTTGATCAGGGCCACTGACCCCCAATAGGGGGCATGCAGGAGGCAGCAGATTGATGATGTTTCTCATTGATGTTTCTATCTCTCTATTCCTCCTCTTCCTTTCTCTCTAAAAATCAATACAAACATTACCAAAAAAAAGTGTTGCCCTGGTTTTCTCAGTGGTTTGAGCATCAGCCCATTGACCAAACGGTTACAGGTTCGATTCCTGGTCAAGGGCATATAGCTTGGTTATAGGTTTCCCAACCCTGGTAGGGGCAACCAATCGATGTGTCTCTCTCACATCCATGTTTCTCTCACTCTCCCCCTCTTCCCTCCTTCTAGAAACCAGTGGAAGAAATATCCTTGGTTAAAGATTTTTTTTCCAGTGCTAATGGCGTTATGGTTAGGTTGAAAAATGTCATTTTCTAAGAAATAAATTCTGAAATTTTTAGGTGTAAAACGCTTCCTTTGATGTCTGTTAATTTAACGTACTTCAGCTACAACAAAACAGATGAAGAAATGTGGCAAATGTCAACAGCGAGGGGATGTGCACGCAGGTGCTTATTATACCATAACTCTTTCTCAACGTTTAAAAAAAATGTTTTAACGTTTTCATAACAAAAGAAAAAAATTTTCTTAAAAAATCACGCCAATCATGATTTACAGTCACTGACAAGGCCACTGATTTTAATTAGCAAGTACGTTGTCGGAGCAGAGAACATTCGGTGACAGGCAGAGACAGAGGACAAGAGCAGAATGTCGTTGCTGAGAAACAAAACAGCGAGCCAGTCAAGGACAACGCTGTGGCTTTTTATTTATTTATTCATTTATTTTTATATTGATATTTTACAGAGAGGAAGAGAGAGGGATGGAGAGCTAGAAACATCGATGAGAGAGAATCATCCATCAGCTGCCTCTTGCACACACCCTACTGGGGATGTGCCCACAACCAAGGTACATGCCCTTGACCGGAATCGAACCCGGGACCTTTCAGTCCGCAGACCGACGCTCTATCCACTGAGCCAAACCGGTTTCGGCAACGCTGTGGCTTTTGCTGAGAGCTCACAGACCTCCGGGCCTAGGCCACCCTCTGAGCGCGTTCACGCAGCCGGCAATGGTGGTCTCCTTGCCAGACGGGCAATGCTGGTAAACCGAGCACCTGGTCCAAGCCGAAAAGGTCAGCCTTGCTGCTCTGGCCCATGTGGCCCCTGCAGGCCCATCAGTAAAAGCCATAGCCTCCTGGCCGGTGCGGCTCAGTGGTTGAGTGTCAACCCATGAACAATTTGATGCCTGGGTTGTGGGTTCGATTCCCAGTAGGGGTTGTGCAGGAGGCAGTTGACCAGTGATTTTCTCACATCATGGATGTCTATAGCCCTCTCTCTCCCTCTCTCTGTTATCAGTGAAAACGTATTTTTAAAAATTAAATTAAAAACAAACAAACACAAAGCCACAGCCATGGGACTTCATATCCCAAAAGTGACATCTTTTTTCTTTTTCTTTTTTTTTTATTGATTTTTTTATAGAGAAGAAGGGAGAGGGATAGAAAGTTAGAAACATCGATGAGAGAGAAACATCGATCAGCTACCTCCTGCACACCCCCCACTGGGGATGTGCCCGCAACCAAGGTACATGTCCTTGACCGGAATCGAACCTGGGACCCTTCAGTCTGCAGGCTGACGCTCTATCCACTGAGCCACACCGGTTTCAGCAAAAGTGATATCTTTTGATGACATAATAATGCAAAGTTTTTCAATATAAAAGTAAAAAGAGAAATCAGAAGGGAAATCAGTGCCTGGGGAACATATCAGAGCTAGGCTAGTCCAACAGCAAAGGGGCCATCATCTTTGGTAAAAAAAGAGTTTGTGCAAATTAAAAAAATATGTTTTTATTAATTTTAGAGAGGAAGGGAGAAGGACATAGAGAGAGGGAAACATCGATGAGAGAGACACAGCCATCGGCTGCCTCCTGCACGCCTCACACTGGGGATCGAGCCTGCAACCCAGGCCCATGCCCTGAATGGAATCGAACTGGGGACCTTTTGGCCCCTGGGTCCAGGCTCCACCACGGAACCATTCCAGCAGGGCTGCGCAAATTAAAAATAAAAATAAAAAAATAAAAATAAAAAATAAAAAATAAATATATATATATATGGGGTTTTTTTTGTTTTGTTTTTTTGTACAGAGAGGAAGAGAGAGGAATAGAGAGTTAGAAACATCGATGAGAGAGAAACATCCATCAGCTGCCTCCTGCACCCCCCCCGCTGGGGATGTGCCCGCAACCAAGGTACATGCCTTTGACCGGAATCCAACCTGAGACCTTTCAGTCCACAGGCCGATGCTCTATCCACTGAGCCAAACCGGCTTCGGCTGCACAAATTTTTTTAATAAGCGAGAGTTGATTTAGGAAGCCACAGAAGCAGGAGGCTGTTGGAGCTGAGGGGAGAGAAAGGTAATGCTCCTGGGGGAAGAAGAGGGGGCGGAAAGGCGAGGGGTGCTCCCAAGGGGGAGAGCAGTGAGTCTGTGCAAATTGAAAAGGGAATTATGAAAACCCCAACAGGGGAACGTCAAGACTCACAAATAAAAAATACAATAAAGCAAGCAACGCACACAAGAATGACTCCGCCTCGCTCAAGATGCAAATCAGAATAACGAGGTCCCACGCTCTGCCTGTTCAGTCACCGGACGCAAACACACAGTCCTAATGCCCGGTATTGGCAGTGCACTTCCAGGAGCGCTGGGCACTGGTGTGGCCCCCCGAGAAGCAATTTGGAGAAACGGAGCAGGAGCGGGGAAAAAATATTCATGCCCGCTGACTTCGGATAACACTCCTGGGAAACGGCTCCATGAAAATAATTGAGAATATGGAAAAATAAAAATAAAAAAGCCTTCGATAGATGAAGATCCCAGATTCATCAGGAATAATGAAATCTGGAAGCAATCCAGATGCCCTGAGAGCAAGCTGCACACACACACACACACACACCGGCAGCTGTCATGGAGAGAGGAGCCAGCTGGCTGTCCTTTGCTAAAACATCCCTCCTTCCAAGCCTTCAGGTTTATAATACCCTCCCCACATTGTAAAAAAGCACATGTGCTTATAAATTTAGAAAGCAGTTTAAAAAAAAATGTTAAACCTATACTCCCACCAGCCAGAGAGAAGCACTAACCACATGTTTTTCTGCTATTTTTCTATCTGTCTATATACATCTGTTATATATATTTTCATATATGTATATTTATTAATATTAAAGAGGAAGGGAGAAGAAGAGAAGGATAGAAATATCAGTAATGAGAGAGAATCAGGGGATGGAGCCTGCAGCCCGGGCAGGTGCCCTGACTGGGAATCGAACCCTGACCTCCTGGTTCCTAGGCCGACATGCAACCCTTGAGCCACACCCACCGGGCCCACGTATTTCTTTTCTAAAATGAAGTTATATTGTGTCTCACTTTATAGCTATTTTTGAAATTACTAAGATGACGTTAATATCTCTATGTAATTACATGATCTTCTATTATTTAACTAATTTCCTACTGGCATTTATCTAACTAATTTCCTACTGCTGGACATTTAGGTTGGACTGGTTTTTGTTTGCTTATTTTTACTGTTATAAACGATGCTCTAAGGAAAATCCTCATAGCTAAAACTCTGTACTCAGTTACAATAATTTCCTGCAAATAGATTCCTGTAAATAAAACCCATTAATCAAAGGCTAGTCAGACCACAAAGGTGTCTGAAAGATATGCCAAATTCTCATTCTTTACTTATCTGGACCATTTTCTGCAGCGGTAATGTGATAACTTTCTTCAGAATGAAAATCATCATCATTACCATCACAGAAAAACTAAAGACATTTATTTTATTTCATTTCTTCTGGCTTTTCTGGCCTTGGCAATTGAAGACACTGGCAGACAATACCTCGTTGCTCAATCTAAGGCCATTTCTATTTTTCCTTTAGCTTCACAGGCTCTCAAATTTGTCTGAGCAGGAAATGTCCTAGCCCAGTGGTCGGCAAACTCATTAGTCACCAGAGCCAAATGTCAGCAGCACGATTGAAATTTCTTTTGAGAACTAAACTTTTTAAACTTAAACTTCTTCTAATGCCACTTCTTCAAAATAGACTCGCCCAGGCCGTAGCATTTTGTGAAAGAGCCACACTCAAGGGGCCAAAGAGCCACATGTGGCTCGCGAGCCACACTTTGCAGACCACTGTCCTAGTTGATAAAGAATGGAACCGGCCCTTGCCGGCTTGGCTCAGTGAATAGAGAGTCGACCTCCGAACTGAAGGGTCCCAGGTTCGATTCTGGTCAAAGGCACCTGCCTGGGTTGTGGGCTCAGTCCTCAGCAGGGGGGCGTGAACGAGGCAGCTGATCAATGATTCTCTCTCATCATTGATGTTTCTATCTCTCTCTCCCTCTCTCTTCCTCTCTGAAATCAATTAAAATATATATATATATATTTAAATATATTTTATTGATTTTTTACAGAGAGGAAGGGAGACGGATAGAGAGTTAGAAACATCGATGAGAGAGAAACATCAACCAGCTGCCTCCTGCACGCCCCCCACTGGGGATGTGCCCGCAACCAAGGTCCATGCCCTTGACCGGAATCGAACCTGGGACCCTTCTGCCCGCAGACCGACACCCCATCCACGGAGCCAAACCGGTTTTGGCTGCAGCGTCTATTCTTTCTGGAAAGCCTATCTAAAGGGCAGAGAGTGGTGACGGGGCACAGCGGCCCTTATATGGAAGCAGTCAAGATCAAGGTACCTATTTTCTCTCGGCGGGGGGTGGGGGTGGGGGTAGTGTGCAGGCCGCATTTTTAAATGAGCGCCTCCAGCCGAAACCAGTTTGGCTCAGTGGTAGAGCCTGGGTCTGCGGAATGAAAGGTCCCGGGTTCGATTCCGGTCAGGGGCATGTACATTGGTTGCGGGCACATCCCCGGTGGGGGGTGTGCAAGAGGCAACTGGTCGATGTTTCTCTCTCATCGACGTTTCTAGCTCTCTATCTCTCTCCCTTCCTCTCTGTAAAAAACTCAATAAAATATATTTTAAAAATAATAATAATTAAAAAAAAATAAAAACAATAAATGAGGGCCTCCATGCGGGGGTCCCTTTATCCAGCCCGGTTATGGTGTTTGATCACCACGTCCCCCTCCGGGACTGTGGGGAGGGGCTCCGTGGGGTCGGGCACATCTGGCCACAGCTGCCCTCTCGAGCCCAAGCTCCTCTTTGCCAGCCAATTGCCACCTGCGAGACTGCCGGCTCACTTCCTGGTGACTTACCAGCGTGTGGTTAATCGTTCTCTTCGCAGAGAAGGGGGGGGGGGGTGGGCTGGTTTGAAATATCCTGAACAAAGGAGACCTCTGTGGGCCCATGTGGTGCGTCTCGGCGACAAAGGCAGGCGCAGTCTCAGAGCCGGGGCTCGGGAACGGCTCAGGACCAGGACTCCTCCTTGAGGACAGGACGCGGCCTCCTGTCGGGGGGAATCACACTCAGTGGTTGAGTGTGTTGACCTATGAACCAGGAGGTCATGGTTTGATTCCTGGTCAGGGCACGTGCCCGGATTGCAGGCTCGATCCCCAGAGGGGGGCATGCAGAAAGCAGCCGATGAATGATTCTCTCTCATTGTTGATGTTTCTATCTCTCTCCCTCTCCCTTCCTCTCTGAAATCAATAAAAATATATTTTTAAAAATCGTATCCAGTTCTAGCTTGTTTGGCTCAGTGGATAGAGCATCAGCCTGTGGACTGAAGGGTCCAGGGTTCGATTCCAGTCAAGGGCATGTACTTGGTTGCAGACTCCTCCCTGGCCCAGGCCCTGGTTGGATCTCCTGCAGGAGGCAACCAATCGATGTGTTTCTCTCACATCGATGTTTCCCTCTTTCTCTCCCTCTCCCTTCCACTCTCTCTAAACATCAATGAAAAAAATATCCTCGGGTGAGGATTAACAAAAAAACAAAACAAAAACCAAGAAACAAAAAGAACTGCTGTTAGGTATCACCTCTTTCTCCGACCAGAGCTCCAACTAGAGGGTCAAGGTTGCTGCTGACACCGCCCAGGGAGCAGGGCGGACATGCGGGTGGATGGACGGACAGATGGCAGGCAGGCCGCCTCCCGGTGCTGCGAGCTCGGGCTCTGAAGCAGCGTGTGTGTGGGACATGCTTTCCTTTCCCGAGTGACATCTCTATTTCAAGGAGCCTGGCATGTCTCAAAGGTCACCTGAGCCGAAAACGGTGTGGCTCAGTGGATAGAGCGTCAGCCTGCGGACTGAAAGGTCCCGGGTTCGATTCCAGTCAAGGGCATGTACTTTGGTTGCGGGCACAAACCCAGTGGGGGGTGTGAGGAAGGCAGCTGGTCAATGATAATCTCTCATCGACGTGTCTAACTCTCTATCCCTCTCCCTTCCTCTCTGTAAAAAATCAGTAAATATATAAAAGGTGACCTGGTCTGGCAGCCCTGGGGGCCAGAAGGGGCAGAGCCGCAGGCAGAGCGTCCTGCTCACCACGGGGCACTGCCGGCTGGCCCTGCCACGCACGGCCTGGCGGGGATTAGGGGGAGAGAGAGAGAGGCGGGGGGGCCACGTTACCTTCGTCAGCTGCAGCTCCGACGAAAACCCCAAACCAAACACCGTGTTGGCTCTGCTGTCGGCCCACTGCCCGAACTTCTGCGACGTTTTGGTGAAGGTCATGTTGGGTGTGATTGTGCTGTTGATGATCACCTGCGGGAAGACGGCGGGAGAGCGGAGGCGTGAACCCCGAGTCCGACGCCACAGCGACTCCGTCTCTGCGGGTGACGCCAGGACCTGGCCCCCACCCTCCCCGACTTCTCGCGCTTCTGGCACCTCCCATGCTGAGTCAGGTGCACAGCCACAATGAGGGGCAATGCCAGAGGCTTAAGAACAGACTCTCAGCCTGAAATAAGAGCTTTTACAAATTTTTAAAAAATATATATTTTATTGATTTTTGTACAGAGAGGAAAGGAGAGAGATAGATGAGTTAGAAACATCAATGAGAGAGAGTCATCGATCAGCTGCCTCTTGCACACCCCCTACTGGGAATGTGCCCGAAACCAAGGTACATGCCCTTGACCGGAATCGAACCCAGGGCCCTTCAGTCCCCAAGCCGACGCTCTACCCATTGAGCCACACCGGTCCCGGCAGCTTTTACAAATTACCAGTGGGAGAAAGTGTCTCCTAAGCACAGTTTCCAGAATGGCTCTTTCTTTGCCCAAATAAAGACCAGACACTCAACTGCCCTCAATGGCCAGCCAGGCCACATTTGGCCGAAGAATGTCATGTCGTATGATTTTTTAATATATTTTATTGATACTTTACAGAGAGAAAGGGAGAGGGACAGAGAGCTAGAAACATCGATGAGAGAAAAGTATCGACCAGCTGCCTCCTGCACACACCCCACCACGAATGTGCTCACAACCAAGGTATGTGCCCTTGACCGGAATCGAGTCAAACAAGCTGGAACTGGATATGAGTTTTAAAATATATATCTATATATTTATATATCTATATATCTATATCTATATCTATATCTATATCTATATCTATATCTATATCTATATCTATATCTATATCTATAACTATATCTATATATATTAACCTGTGGACTGAAGGGTCCCAAGTTCGATTCTAGTCAAGGGCACATGCCCGGGTTGTGGGCTCCATCCCCAGTAGGGGGTGTGCAGGAAGGAGCCGATCAATGATTCTCATCACTGGTGTTTCTTTCTCTCTCTCCCTCTCCCTTCCTCTCTGAAATATATATATATATATATATATATATATATATATATATATATATATATTTTTTTTTTTTTTTTTTTTTTTTTTTTTTTTAAGAGGCTTTAGGACGTGGGAGGAGGGAGTCATGGAGAGCAGGCTGTTGTGAAAAGAGAGGTGACCTTCTGGTGAAGACACACCAGCAAAGCAAACACCCTTGACCCCTGGCCTCTGACCTGCCACCGGCCAAACCAAGCAGAAGCCAGAGGCCCTGCAGGTCAGTCAGCCTTTCCGGCCGGAAGAGGGCAGAGGATGGATCGGGAGGGGGGGGGGAGGACTATTCATTCTTTTGGTGCAGCTTCCTGCCTTCCCTGGATGCCAGGCACGCTGCCAGCGCAGGCACAGTGATGGATGAGTCCCGATTCCTGCTCTTCACCTCGCAGGGGGCCGGAAGAGGGCAGAGACGGGAATACAAATGCTCACCCGAGAACCGATGTGTTCTAAAGTATCAATTTCTCCCTCCGACAGAAATCCTTGGAAGCCCTAAGCCTCTAAGAAGCGCTCAAAGAAAAACGCCCTTGGAGATCAGGGATTCTTGGACGTCTACTAAGCAGCATAAAACGAGAGCTAGTCGAAACCGGTGTGGTTCAGTGGATAGAGCATCAGCCTGCGGACTCAAGGGTCCCAGGTTGGATTCCGGTCAAGGGCATGTGCCTTGGTTGTGGGCACATCCCCAGTGGGGGGTGTGCAGGGGGCTGCTGGTGGATGTTTCTCTCTCATCGATGTTTCTAGCTCTTTATCCCTCTCCCTTCCTCTGCGTAGAAAATCAATAAAACAATAAATAAATAAATGAGTGCTAAGCCTCCCTCAGTCCCCAGGTCCCACCGCCTCACCCCCATCCCCGGGGTCCCTCCCACCCTCACAGCTGCATGGGGCCCTCACCACTGGGGCAGACCGAGGCCCCTCGCTCAGGGAACACACATTGCTACGCTGGCATGTTTTGGCGGGAGTGCCTCTGCCCCCTTGTTCCCTACTCACAGGCCTGCTTCCAGGGACAGGAGGATACTTTGGTCCCGGGTCAGCACAGTACCTCTCATTCATTCATTCATTCATTCATTCTGTCATCAGCATCAAGGAGGCCAAGCATTTCCCAAGCACAGCCTATACAGTAAGGTGACCAGACGTCCCGCTTCTGGCGGGACAGTCCCGATTTTTAACCATTTTTGGGGACTTTTTTAAAACGCCGAGGAACGCGGGACAGACACCTTGTTAGAAAGCGGGACGTCTGGTCACCTTAGCCTACAGGGTCGCCCGTGCTGGAGGTCGGCCAAGAAGGCAAAGGAAGCCACTTCTCCCACCGCCTGCTCTTGCCACCTGCAGGCTTGGCAAAGCCCTGGCAAAGCCCTGGCTCTCGGCCAGCTCACCAAAGCCTCTGGGGCTTTTGGGACCTCCTGGGTCCACGCGGGAGGCGGGAGGGAGGGAGGAGGGGGGAGGAAAGGGGAGGAAAGCCCTCATTTTCTCCCACACGATCCTTTACATTCAACAGCCTCTCCGCCCTCACCGTAAGCCCTCGGCTGCAATTAGCGAGCCGACTGCTGGCCGCTGGCCCAGGCAACCCAGCGCGCTGACCTTCTCAGAGCAGCCGGCCGACAGCGGGAGCGGCCGCGCTGCCAGAACGGCCAGCCAGGCCCTCCTCCCTTCTCTGCCCATAACGGCCTGGGCTCCACGTGGCTCGGGCACCGGGACAAGGCCTCCCGCAGAGCTGGACAGACAGCACCTCGGGATCCGCTCCTTCCGGGCAGGGACCTCTCTGTCCTCCGGGCCCTGCTCGCGCCTGGAGGCCACCTCAGTGGCCGGTGCTGCTTGGAGCCTCTGCCTCATTTCTGACTCCCCCCTCTGCTCTGCAGGGATGAGGAGGGGAGGGAAAGCGGACACCCATGAAAGGTGCCCATGTTTTGTTTTGTAATATATTGTATTGATTTTTTCCAGAGAGGAAGAAAGAGAGATAGAGAGCTAGAAATGTCAGTGAGAGAGAAACATGGACCAGCTGCCTCTTGCACACCCTTTACTAGGGATGTGCCCGCAACCAAGGTACATGCCCTTGACCGGAATCGAACCTGGGACCCTTCAGTCCGCAGACTGACGCAATATCCGCTGAACCAAACCGGTTTCAGCACCCATGTTTTTTTGTTTTTTTGTTTGTATTTATTTATTTATTTTTTTATTTTAATATATTTTATTGATTTTTTTTGCTCCCCCCCCTCCCTCCCACACATCCCCTCCCTCCCTGCATGTTTTTTTGTTTGTTTGTTTTAATATATTTTATGGATTTTTTTTTTTTACGGAGAGAAAGTGAGAGAGATAGAGTTAGAAACATCGATGAGAGAAAGTCATCGATCAGCTGCCTCTTGCACACCCCCTACTGGGGATGTGCCCGCAACCAAGGTACATGCCCTTGACTGGAATCGAACCTGGGACCCTTCAGTCCATAGACTCTACCCACTGAGCCACACCGGTTTCAGCGCCCATGTTTTATACACAGTGATTATGCTGCTTAGCAGACGTCCAAGGCTTGGTTCGGGAAGATGCATGGGCCCCCTCTCGTTACGCTGGAGAGGACAAGGATGTAAGCCAGGGGTCCTCAAACTTTTTAAAGTGGGGGCCAGATCACGGTCCCTCAGAGAGCTGGAGGGCCGGACTATATGAACTACTAATTCCTACTGTAACACCTCGGCTGCGCTCACTGCCCAAAAAACCTGGCGGGCCGGATCAGACTCCTCTGCGGGCCGCATGTGGCCCGCGGGCCGTAGTTTGAAGACGCCTGGAAGCCATCAGCTCAGCTTCACTAGGAATGTGGCAACTGCATCACCATTGTTTGCCGTGGTTAATCCTCACCAGAGGATATTGATACATTGATTTTTAGAGAGTGGAAGGGAGAGGGAGAGGCAGAGAGAAACATCGACGTGAGAGAGACACACCGATTGGTTGCCTCCTGCACGTACCCTGACCAGCGCCAGGGGACCTGCCCTTGACCGGAATCAAACCCGGGGCCTTTCGGTCCTTGGGCCAATGCTCTATCCACTGAGCCACACCGGCTCGGGTGAAACTATTATTGCCATTCCATTGAAGTATGTCTGCTGATACGAAGCAAGGGTCAGGCGGGGGTGTGGGGCAACAGGAGCTCACGGACTGGGAAAACCCCTGTGGCTTCCTCGGGTCACGTTAAAAAGGCCACTCCCACCACATGGCAATCCCAGTCCTCGGTGTACACCTGAGAAGAAGCTCCGTGTGGGTAAAGCAGGGGAAACGGGCAGTTATTCACAGTAGCAGCGTTTGCAGAAAGCATGTCCAGCCGAAGCTGGTTTGGCTCAGTGGATAGAGCGTCGGCCTGCGGACTGAAGGGTCCCGGGTTCGATTCCGGTCAAGGGCATGTGCCTTGGTTGCGAGCACATCCCCATTGGGGGGTGTGCAGGAGGCAGTTGGTCGATGTTTCTCTCTCATTGATGTTTCTAGCTCTCTATCTCTCTCCCTTCCTCTCTGTAAAAAAATCAATAAAATATATTTTTTTAAAAAAACAAAAAAAAACAGGGAGCCGGTGTTTCTGCGCCAAACCACCTCTGATCAGAGCTCTGGGAAGCTGGGTCTGCCAGATGCACGCACGGGGCTCCCTGCTGTCCACGCGCAGGGCCGACCTGGTGACAGTCGGAAGCTCTGATCCTGGTGCCCTCTAAGCAGTGACCCTCGCCCTGCCCGCTGCCCTCCTGCGGCCAAGGCACAGCTAGCCAAGCCTGGAGAGCACGCGGCCAGCTTGACCTCATCGCCTGCTAACTCCCCCCCCCCCGCCCCTGGCATTGCCCACACCAGCTGGGGGCCGGGACGCCAAAGCCAAGCCAGAGGCCTGCTCCCCGATCCTCAAGGAGGGCATCGCATGCCCAGAAGGGGATCGGGTCCCGGCACGCCTGCCTCGCGGAGTCTTCAGCAGCAGCCGG